TTGAAAACCTTATGGAAAATCTAATTTCTGTAACCATGTCGGATATCGAGAATTTCTACAATACAGTTCGGAAGTTGCAAATTGACGAAGCTACATTCAATGAGGACATAAAAATTATTCAAGACAAAATTATCAATATTTCAGACAAAATTGCCTTTTTTGACGCTAGATTAAAATTTTTTGAAATATGCGAGCAACTTATGGAAAGTTACATGTTTCTTGAAGAAATGATTAACGACGTTCTAAATTCCATTACTTTCGCACGTCTGAAAATAATCCATCCCTCAATTATTACTCCTCATGGTTTAGTGAATTCCCTTCAGGAAATCTCACACACCTTGTCAAAAAACAACCTGCCCTTGTTAGTCAGTTCAGCAACGGTCTCTGGACATCTCAATCTCATGGAGATTGAGGCATGTCAGACCAAAACAAAAGTAGTTTTCGTTTTAAGAATCCCTTTATTAGGTGTCGAACCAGAAATTTACACACTGTACAAAGTAATTCCTCTGCCCATTCCAGATAGCCGCACAGGCTTATTTCATGTTATTTCTACAATACAGAGATACATTGCTAAGGATAGCGATTCGCTATTGTACGTGTCCTTTAAAAATTTAGATAATTGCAAAATCCTTCAAAGTCAAATCAAAATTTGTTTTCACCTTTTGCCTTACCCTATAGATAATAATGCAGTCTATGAAGCACAGTTGTTGCAAAACCCGGTTGATTTGTCTAATGCTTGTCAAATAGCTATTGTGGCCTTACAGGATTATAAAATCCAAGAAGCAACCAATTTTTGGCTGATTACAATATCTAGCCCGTAGCGCATAACCATGAAATGTGGGCAAATAGAGACAACCACAAAAGTGATAAAAGGTAATTCACTCTTAAAGATGCAACCTGGATGCAGTGAATTTGTAGCTACTACTAGACTTCATGCCAGATATTCTGTCAACACTTATAAGAATATCACATTCAGGAATCACCCTGTAGAGATACCTTATAATTGCTGCAAACACTTACCAGACAAACATAAACTGCCAAAACTAAAGTGGATCAAGCTATATAAGATCGAGACTGAAGAATTAGAAATAGCTAACCACAAGTCGAATCAGTACTCGAACAACTGGACAAAATTATCAACGAGCCCTCCGTATCCAGACATCTCTCATGGTTCACATATTCTATAATTGCCGTATTAGTTATCATCGTAGCATTGTACCTGTTCTGCAAGTGCAGAAGACGTCGACCGAATTATCCAGCCGTACACCTGAGTTTTTCCCATACCATCATCTTTGTAAGGTGTTTTCTACATTAAAACAGTTTCAGCAGCATTTTTACTAATTAGAAAGCAAAATGTCACAGCTGCACGTTGCTCACTAAAGCTTGCCATCGTAAAAAACGGAACAAGCAAGAAATAGCTCTAGCAAAAATAATGACTACAGAGGAACGAAACAATCCAGATCGACAACTCAGCTGGCACTGAACTGGTGATGAGTTGCGCTGTACGCCTCTAGGGGCAGAAATGTGTACTACACTAGCTCCGCCCACTGCAATGCTATTCCGGTTATTTTTGGCTACCTCCTCATATATTCCATTTTTTCAATGGATATTTTTGTTCGACAAGAGATTTTGTAGCGCCCGGTTAAATACACCCAATCTCTATTTAACTTTCCACGCGTTGACGTCTCAGAATCTTACCTAAATGCTTTTTTCATTACAAGCGTTCAATAGTTGTCATTCCAAGCGCTGAATAATTTCAATTTATTTAACTTGTTTGTGTGGGACAAATCTTGAAACTGAATTTTGAACCCTACAACCTTGACCAATCGAGCTGGAATTTTGTTTACAGATTTGGTTCGTCTGGCAATACAAAATGGATTGAATGCCGCTATTTCGATAATAACACTGGTAATATGGGCATCAAATGAAAGGGTTTGATGGGTTAAACACTATCATCAACGCAAAATCATTCTAAATCCAATAAGGCGGACGCCTGAAATCGGCGATTTATACCTTCTCCATTTTTTATCGAATTAACCTTGACCATGAAATTTTACATATACGGTTGGTCCTCATGCCTATACAGGATAAATTGAATGTCCTCATTTTGAATCCAGTCTGACGAAAGCTACAAAATGGCGATGTATAATTTCCGTAATAACTCCCGTGATAATGGTGTGTAACAGTACTATCAGCAAGGTGACGTCATTCGAAATTCAATAAGGCTCAAAACGGCGATACATCTAGGCACCGAATGAGCTGACAGACATGGTCATATCGTTATTCGTTTCTAGAATTGTAGGACGCCTTTATAGCCTCCCGGATTTTCATAATTTTTCCTGTCATGCAGCGGTATTTCTAGATTTCAGCTGTTTCGTGTAAGCGCTGTATCTTTAGGTTATATTTTCTTTTCAAATTCTAAAATATTTCAAGCTGATAAAACTTGATTTTTAACATCCGTTTTATTATCCTAAAATTTCTTAAGATTCAAGAAGAATACATAACCTCACAATAGGACAGCGCTGACGCTGACAAGGAACAGTATATAAACACCCCAGCCTTTCTGGAGGCGAAAAAAGACTATGAAAATCAAAAAGGCCATAAAGGCATCCTAAAATTGTAAAAACGACTGACGATACGGCCCTAAATAGCTGTACCATAAATAACTCCGTGAAACAGACGTCGTCAACATTGTTTACAGCCTATCTAGGAGAAGAGAAGCTCCAAAATCAAACCGGGAGTAACTTTTCTTGGGCGCAAGTAATTTCCGACCTTAAATAAGAGGCATGATTGGCGAAAGAGTCATTCAACTTGAAGTAAGCGGCAGATCAGGTGCAAATAAATCCCGGCTTGAAATAAACGGCGCAAGTTCACAAGCCCAAATGCTGACGCTGTAATAAAAGTACCTATTTGACATAAAAACTGAAAAAAAAAATTAAAGAAGTTTTTATTTAGCTGTTAAAATGAACTCAAGATAAAGAAATATTTTTTCCAGCTGGAAATATGCAGCATCTGTACTTGTTAACTTCTAAACAATAGTGAAGCTCATTCGCCTCTAGTTTTCAAATAAAAGCGAGTTTCGTAAAACGCCACCATTGAGAAAAAGGGTGTAATACGCTTTTATTTGAAAACTTCAACACCATCTTGGGAAACTACATATGATTTATAACTACCTGAATAAAAACAGAAGTTATTCTCAACGCCACCTAGGAAATTAGCCTTTAAAACACTAAGCAAGACATTACACGATTTCGTTGGCTTTCAAATCAAAAGAGAATTGTCGGTTTGAAATTCAGCAACTAGGTTTGCTCGTACAGAGGTCGGTGACAGTGTCTGGGACCCGGCCGTGTGAATTACGTCTATATAGCACATCAGAATGAACGGAATTTGTGTGGTAGGACCTTGGACACGATCACTGACAGGTTGGTGACAGCTGTACGAACAAGGCTTCTGCAAACTGCAAAATTTAGGCTCATCGGTACCACATAGATCTAGTATCACACAACTGTGGAGCAATATCATCCAGTCTTATTATAGTGAGGCTCATTTCTTGCCTTCGGTATCACGAAATCGTTCAATCAGCTGAAGCATGCTGTCCTCTTTGCAGATGGGTGGCTCACTTCCTCTCACAATGTGAACGCGAGTGTAACGCCGGCTCCGGCATTTTTCCTCTTAAATATCAACGACCGGACCCACAGCTTTGCTGATGACAATACTTTACATGATGCAGGAATTCAGAGTGACAAGCCGATCATTGCCGATGAGCTGGAGTCAAGAAGACTAGTAGTGACCTTCCCTGTAACGAAAGATGTTGAGGTTAACACAGTGCTGTACCTTGACTAACAAGAAGCGCCCTAGCGGTAATACGGTTTCGACGGATGTCCGACTTTTACCAAAAAGCCGTTCCTTTCGACTAGTCTGAGTCCAGATGACCGATGACTTGCTCTGGCAGGAACACATCTCATCAGTATCGGCAGCTGCTGGGATAAAGCTAGGCTATTCGTTTGGGGCCAAGAAATGCCTTTCCCCACATAACTTGCTCGGTACAAGGCCCAGGTGCTGCCGCCTTGAGTGCTTGATGCTGCTTAGAGGAGGCCTGTCCGACTGATCAATGACTCTTCTTTAACAGACGATCTCGGGGCGCTTTCACACAGGCAAGCCGTCGGCGATTCAGCTCTCTTCTACCTTTATGTCAGCGAGCTTTGCTCCTCAGAGCTCCCCTAAATGATGGCGCCGCTCGATGTGCCTGCCAGACAGACCCGCCTGACTTCGGCCTCCCATCCTAACTGTGTCAAACTTTGTACATCCGGAACTGATCGATACAACCCCGTCTTTGTCCTAGGATAGCGAGATTGTGGCAATCCACCTAAGGATGCATCTCACAGTTCCTTACCCAGTTAAAGGGTCAAAATAACAAAGTTTCTTTAAGCTCCTCGTAGCAGACGCGGTACCATGGTTTTAGGCTTCTGCCTATGCGGCTGCTTCGATATATAAAGAACTATAGAGGATTTCATTTTTGACTGTACTGTACCACATCAATGCTGTGCGCTTTGTGATAATATCACGACCTATTCTTGCTAAGCCTGATCAGGGCGACGTAGATCTAGACCAGATGACAAAAACTTTCTGAATTTTTTCATCACACTGTATATAAATATTCAATAAATTCAATCTGTGTAAAATTGTTGATAATACCACGACTCAAGGACAAGCCCCTTCCAGAACATTTGTCTGCATACGCCAGTGCCATGTCTAATCTACGAAAGCGGTGTACAGGCTCTTTAGTTTCTGACAATATTGTATATATCAATTACATATAATCGCAGTGCGGCCTCTGATAATGCCGTGACCCCTTCGACTAATGTTTATTGGACCTTCCTTCACACAGTGCTCAAATTAGTTGAGTTGGCGCGGCGGCGTGAAGCGTGAAGCGTAAGGCGTGAGAAGCTGATGAGTTGTAACTTTGTCTCCACTTTTCGCCACTTAAACTTAATTGTTAAATGAAGGAAGATGGACCAAGGCCTCTTCTTCAAGCTAAATGGATGTTCACAGTGACTCTTACACTTACAGGTGATAAAAGTGTTATCAGACATTGTGGTGGCAATTGTGTAACGTGCTGGTGCAGTGATATTGTAGAGCTTTTTCGAACATTCTTACTTTGTAAACTCAACCGTGATTGGGTAAAGCGAAATACAATATTTTGTTTGGAAAATAAGTGATACTACATATGGTTATCGAAGCAACATTCGTGAGGTGCTAGTGTGGTGATATAGAGGAGCTTTTCGAAACACTGCTTCTCTGTAAGCTTAACAACCATTCGTTGAAGAGAAAAACTACAAAACTTGTGCTTCGCATGAGTGATATTGCGAGACTTCTCTGGTACGCAACTGCTTTGTAAAGACAGATAAGGTAGTTTTTTATTTGCTTTGCTTTTGACATAACAATGAAGTGACATTACATACCTAGTTTGAGGAGTGGGGCATCATCACACTTGTTTTCACTAATATCACAAAATATGTTACATCACGATGTTTGCCCTGTTCATACAGCTGTCACCAACCGTCAGTGATCATGTCCCAGATCCCTCCACAAAAATTCCGTTCACTAAGCTTCTCTATATAGATGAAATTCACACGGCCGGATACCTGACACAATCACCGACCACTGTAAGAACAAACCAGTTGTTAGTCCAACCATATTAGACGAAAATACCCATGGCTTGCGAAATAATTGTGAATTCTGGTTTTATTGATGCAAGTTGTTCGAGGGGTTATTTAAAACATACACATAAAATGGGTCCACCAATGTTTGTGGGAAAACTTTTTATTCGACAACAAAGAATGAGAAAATCCGTTTTTGGGATTCAATCGAACGTGCTGGCATGAACGAAGAAAATTCTTTGAATAAGATATTTAGGTATTTAAATAAATTCTTGAACTCCATGGGCTTCAGACATGTTAATAACCACAACAAAATTGGAGGCGATTGGTCAAGTAGTTTTTGAGAATTTCTAATTGTTCATCCCAAGACGCCTGTCTTCCGGCCATCACTACTAGTTTACTGAACAATATACAGGATTCGTTCAAAGGGCATTTTATAGCCGACGTGAATCACAACAATCGAAAAGATAATTGTTATTTTTATGGGAACAACGAAAGGTTACGTTTTTTCTTCTAAGCAAATTCAAACATTTCATATAATATGTGAGATTCGCCACGATATTCGAAAAATATACGTTATTTTACATACATTTTTTTTTGAAAAGCGTTCAAACCCGTCGATTTTGTTTTCGAGTGGGACACAAGTTTTGCAAAAAAGCACGTTAGCACGTGCAGCCCCCCGAGTGGGGGTGGCACCACCCCCAAAATCTTAAATGGAAAGGGGGGTCGAGTGATACCTTATTTTAAAGGTTCACCAATTCCCTTTATAATGATATAAAATAAATGTACTTCAATTCAGTAGTTTTGAAGATTTATTGATTTAAAGCTTAAATAAAACTAATACATCCTAATTAGTGGAAATCAATACATTTGGCAGCAAAGTAGTTTAAAAATGAAGAATGAACTAATCGGTTAGGCAAGTAAATATTGAAAATGGCCACCATGACTCTCCATGCAATAATAAAGATTTTGCTAAAAACGTTGCCACACATTTTGCAATATTTGAGGAGTAATTTGAAGGCACTCATTCACAATTCTTTGTCGCAGGTCTTCTAATGATGTTGGCTGAGTAGCATAGATTTTGCTTTTTGAATGACCCCACATAAAGAAGTCCAAAGGTGATAAATCTTGGGGGCCATTCAATTGCACCTATTCTACCAATACATCGATCTGAAAACGTCTAATCTAAATATTGTCGAACACCTAATGCGTAATGTGGTGGGGCACCATCCTGTTGGAACATCAACCTATTCGCAATGTACCACCGATCATTCTGATTTTCAATTATGGCTGTTAATGCAGGATCTATGGCGTCTTCCAGTAATTTCAAATACATTTCACCGGTCAAATTTACAGGTAAGAAAAAAGGACCAACTAAATGGTCGCCAAAAATACCAGCCCAAGCAATTAATTTTTGTGGCTACTGTGTATGAACCTCATGATAAATTCTGGGATTAGAATCGGACCAATATCGGCAGTTATAACGATTTACTACGCCATTTAAGAAAAAGGAACATTCGTCGGAAAAGCAAGTGTTGAATATCGTTTATAATTCGTTCACTCATATCTTCACAAAATTGTAATCGCCGATCAAAACCGTCTTTATTAGGTTCTTGTACCAGGTGAATTTTATACGGATGAAAACTATGGGCCTTTAGAATCCGTTGGACAGTACGTCGACTAACACCACACACAGTCTCCAATTTGCGGGTACTTAACGTAGGATCTACATAAACTTGCCCTAAAACTCCCACTTCTATTGCTTCGTTCCTTATGGGATTTTCAATGTTGCGTTTTTTATTGGCGACTGAGCCAGTTTTCCGAAATTTAGCTAGAAGTTCTAGAACAAATGCTCATGTCGCTCATTAAATATTTCTGCTGTTCTATTAGCGCACTGTTTATTTCCGAAAAATATTTCGATAATTTCGACTCTTTCTGCTGTGGAATATACCATGGTTAATTTATGTAATAAAGCGTTACAAGCTATTTCAGCAACAAAGTTTGGTCAAATCAATCGCAAACTATGTGCTAAATTCCTATTTAAAATAAGTACGAGATATTTCCTTATCTTTCCTCAAGAAATAACTTTTTTGCCACAAAAAAACGCTCCAATAGCTATTTTCAACAACAAAATGATAAGCAAACCATAGGGGTAGTGAAGAAAAGCGTTTACTTATTAAGTAAATTCTTTTAGTGAAATTTCTTCTGAAAGTAGTACAAACTAATCTGATGTAGCTATTAAAGTCTACTTTAAGCTTTAAATCAATAAATCTTCAAAACTAAGTACATTAATTTTATATCGAACGAGATTTCGAAAACATACATATACTATATTAATACTTTTAGAAAAAAAATCTAGGTAATTATATTTCTCCGTAAAGAAACTGGATTACGTGACCTACAAAGTCATCAATAATGCAGCCATTTAGCACATGCTGTATACTAACTAGTCTAAGACAATTTGAAACAATTGTGTTTTCAGTTTGCGTGCTAACTTTATAAACAGTTCAGCGCATTTCAGAATGGAATATTCTGTTTTATAAACCTTAAGGCTCATCTGTGACTGTAAATATTTATACACAAGAGTATGAAGAAATCTTGAAAAAAAAATATTTTCTTTCTAATAAAAGGTCAGTTAATCACATATAATTATGAAATATTTGAATTTGTTTATAAGAAAAAATGCAATCCTTCGTTTTTTGCATAAAAATTCAAATTATTGTTTCGGGGAAATTTGATAATATGATTAGACTATGTCGCCTTCAGCTCATCCTACAAATAATTCAAGATATCTAGTTCCCTAGTGCCAAAATAAAAACTAAAATCATTGAATACAACAGACAGCCAATTTGACTTGAACTGGTCCAACCAAGGGGAGTAAAATGCAAATGTTTTATTTTGGTTAACCTTAAAAGTCGTTTTCAAACATTATGTCCATTGCTGCGGTATTCTAGAAAGAGAACTACCTGAGAAGGTTCAATTATCAAACTGACATAATGATGCATGATGCAGTTTTAACTGGCGCTATTTATCTTGGTGTTTTTATGTTCTTATTATTCACATAGGTAGACAAATACTACTCTTTAATGAAGTATTATAATGGTTTCTTCTTGGGTTAGTAATGAAAAACATCTATGAACCGTTTTGTATAAACCTAGTTGAGGCTCAACATGCAAAATGGTATGATCATCATATTGTTGCTGGTGGAACTCGATGCTACAAAAAAATACTCCTTTAAACAAATAAGCAGAAATATCTGTGCAGTAGCAAAAAACAGCGTTGAAGCTTCTTAAATGACTGGGTTATTCATGAGTCGGCCAGATTTTTTTTATTGCATTCTACTTGAGGATTCCGGAAAACGCGGTACAAAGTACATACAAAAGTTATAAAAAAAAGTGTATCACAACACATTAATGTACTAATATATTGCATTACCAAGATGTGTTTTACATTTCAACGCAACTGCTTAAACTAAATAAGGATGAAATGTGTATATTATGTTTTCTCATGTTTCAAGGTTGAGTCATTTATTTTAACTGCTTGTAAGACTCGTCAAAATGAGCTGAAATACCAAAAATCAGCTATATAAACGTTGCATAATAAAAAAAATAGTGAAAGATTGAAAATTTCCAAACATAAGAATGTTATTGCACAGATTTTTTTTTATATTCTCGACCACTATCGTGAAAAATCTTAGCGCTTTTTGTTTACTACTCTTACCTCTTATCTTAAATTGGCAAACTTTTTGTGTTATTGTATGGTTCCCAGTACGAGTCTTTAGTTCGATCAGTTGTATCAGACTTTTAATAGTGCGTATACTTTAATTTGTCTGATTATTCTGCGCCAAAAAATGGCTCACACACATTTACACGAAATGGAGTGCACAATTTTCACAGCAATCATGTTTGGGCAGTAGAAAATCCGCATGCTGTAAAAAGAACTCATTTTCAACAAAGATTTTCATTAAATGTTTGGGCTGGCGTGGTAAATGGTATGCTTTTTGGACTGTACTTTTCTCCACCTCGACTAAGGGGTCAAATTTATTTAGATTTTCCTCGATACAATCTGCTACAATTATTAGAAGATGTTCCTCTAAATGTCAGACAGAATATGTGGTTCCTACATGATATGCTCCATCACATTTTTGACGAGAAGTTCATGTACATCTAAATAATAAGTTTCCCAATAGATGAATAGGTCGCAATGGACACATTTCTTGGCCTGCTCGCTCCCCGGATTTAACTGCGATTTTTTTCTGTGCGGCTATTTGAAAGAAATGGTATGTCATGATGGAGCAGTAAATACTCTGGAAGAACTTCAACAGCGCACTGATAATTCTTATCATTTAATTCGTGGACACCAGGATCATATAAAACGAAAAAGTCACTCAAACTTGATTTTTTGATGTTTCGGAGGATCCTGATCATTTTTTAAACACATTTTGGAAGTAAAAGATTTTGGGGGTGAGGATTGTAAGCGGGTGGGGCGGGTTGGTCTCAATTTTCTGATGCTGGTACATTTATACGCTCGCAACATTGATAATATTCGCACCTATTAGACATTTTTCTCTGTATATTAGACCCGAAAACTTGGAAAAATATTATCGGGGACAGCCCGCGTACCTATCGGCCGCGGCTGCTGCTGGCGACCCATCGTGCGTCAACAGTAATGTGTGTTTCCTATGGTCTGACCGCGTTACCATGGTGCCACGTCTGCCCCAGTTAGGTATCGATAAAAGGCGACATTTACAGATGCACCACCGGTAGGGCAGGAACAGAATGTCTATGGACTAATTTGACTGACTTTTTTCTCAAGAGGTCTAGTTTTTGCTGAACATATCTCGTTCCTTATGTACAGATAAGGGCGTTGCGTCGGAAGTGCAGGCTCAACCTACTGGGCGCTACTTTTTCTTGTGAAGGGGTCAAAATGTCTCAATTTCTATTCCACTGCTGTAGTCTATTGTATTTATTAGATATGGCGTTAGTACAGGGTGCGGCAGAGAGGATGGATGGTTTTAAAAAAATCATAAAATAGTTAATTTTTACTCGAAAACAAATTTATTGATGGAATCAGGTTCACAAGGAAATAGCATTTGAGACAGTCAAGTGTGGAAAATCACATCAGGCATGTGGTGGCCGAAATCGTTGATGCAGTGATGGAGGCGTTCTTGGAAGTTCGCGTAGACTCTCTCCAACATCGCTCTCTCAACTTAGGCGACTTCTACGCGAATTTCCACTTCAATTCGTTCAGAGCTCGTGGCTTGTTCGCGTATACTCTAGCCTTGAGGTGTCCCCATAATAAAAAATCGCATATGGATAAATCTGGGGACCGAGGAGGCCAATGAACGTCGCCAAACCTGAAAATAAGGCGACCAGGGAAGAGAGAGCGAATAACGTCCATCGATGCTCGGGCTGTGTGGGCGGTCGCCCCATCCTGCTAGAACCACACACGTCGGATTGGAACACGTCGCCGTCGTAATTCAGGGAGAAAGAAGTTGGTGATCATGTCGACGTGGCACTCTGATTTCACGGTAACATCACGACCATTACCGTCTTCGAAGAAGTAAGGGCCAATGATGCAAGTTTGCGATACAGCCCACCAAAACGTGACTTTTGGGCTGTGCAGCGGTCTTTCGTGTAACTGTTGCGGATTTTCATTAGCCCAATAACGACAATTCTGCTGGTTAACCATGCTGTTTAGGTGAAAGTGGGCTTCGTCACTCATCAACAAAATGAGGTTCTCATTTTGATCTATCATTGCTTCCATCTCACGTGCGAAGTTCATTCGTTGTGCATAATCTCCGGGCTGTAACTGTTGCACAATGGCCAATTTGTAGGGGTGAAAGCGGAGATCCATATGTAAAATTCGCCTTCCCGAACGATCACTAAGGTGAAGTGCAGCAGCATGTTTCCGGGCAGATCGAGTCGGACTACGAAGAAAGACCTGTCGAACGCGTTCAACATTTTCAGGAGTTCGAACTGTTCGCGGCGCTCCTCTTGGTCTTCTATTGATCGGTTCACCACGCCTGCGGAGTGATTCAACCCAACGAAGGATGGTGTTTCGAGATGAAACAGCTCTATTCCGATGAATGTTGAAGTGGCGACGAAACTCACGCTGTACGACGATTTCGGACGAAACAATCATGGGCGAAAACGCGGTGATCCACCGTCCAAGGCTCCATAACGACAACTGGTAAAATAATGCTAGGATCTCACGAGTCAAACGGCACCCTCCCCACCTCTCTCGTAGACGGAGGCGGAGAGTACTACCCTTCCCAAAGATGTCCGTCCTCTCTGCCGCACCCTGTACTATATTAATTACTGATAATTAATTAAAGCTTGGTATAGGCATATGCTTAAAATAACTTACATTGTTATTTTTCGCAGTACTTTCTATTCTAGAAAAGTAGCCACGCTTTCATGAGTCACTTTATATAACTTAAGATTTCGATAGCTTCGAAATTTTTAAATATCTAGAATCCCAAATGTAATTCCTATCTCTGCCTTTTCGTTCAGGTCTCAGATCCCAGGATCCCTTCTGTCCCTTTTCAGCCCTGACAGCGTTCACTTATCAGATTGTTTGATTCCCTGAAAAACCCTACTGTCCGATTACGATACTGATTCGAAAACGCCTATTGCATATCTAGCATTCCCTACACATTTATTTCCCCACCTCACATTCGATTAGAGCTTGCTAGAATTAAAACTTGCTACGTGTTTGAAATTGTCCCGATTGAGGATACAGTGTACGTTCGTAAAATACCTATATACAAAAATGTTCTATAAAGATTGGGACCTCGTGAGCCATCTTACAAAGGTACAGGGTGTTATAAATCCAAAACCAAGAAACAATGATATCTTTGCGTGGATGAAACTAACAACTGAAAATACGTACATAAATTTTTATAACTCAAACTACATCAAAAGAAGGAAAAAAAATATGTTTTTACACCAACCCGAGTAACCATCATTTATCACATCTATGACCAACTGAGAAGCAACTTTTCCTCGAGGGTAAATAATGGTAACAAAAAAGCACCTGGTAAATGATAAGGTAATCTAAAATTATATCCTACTAAGTATATTATGTCAATTTGGCAATCAAACTTTATATACAAAAAATTATGGAAAATATATGGAAAATGTATGGAAAAATAAGTAGTTATAAGTATAGCTTGCCATATAGATACCTGTTATAAGTAAGGTGATAAGGAAGTGTATAAAACGGGAGCTTCTTGAGTATCTTAAGCATCGCTGCTTGATTTACAAAAGGCAGTATGGTTTCCGGCACCAGTAATCGATGGGACCTCCTAGCTTACGTCACGCATCTGTGGAATAAATTCATTAAGTCATATGATGACGATGTTGCTATTGATATCACAAAAGCCTTCGATCATATGTAAGATGCTGCCCTCTTATGCAAACTCCAATGGATTCCCAGAGAAACTTTTCAGAAAGGTGGCAGTCTTCTTTTCTGGCCGCAAGATATCCGGGTTCCCCTCTTCATCCCACAATTAAAAAAATTCTACATATTTCCTTCTCAGCTTTCAGGTTTTTTTAGTGATTCATGGTTTAATTCCCAAATTATTCTATATTTTTTAAAAAAAATCAATATTCTCAAGAATTTTAGTGTTGCCAAGATAATAAGTTTTCCACATTTATACCATCAAAATTAGCAAAATAAAAAATATTGTCTACCAAATAATTACACATCTTCGGAATCCTCAAGCCTCGCAAAATATAGTTTTTACAATTATCGATATTTTAGTAATCCTCATTATTTTGAATATATAGTTGAACATTTGATTGGAACACTCTAAGTGATCAAAATATGGTAGTAACAATTTCCGATATTCACAGTTTTGCATTCACATGATTATAAAACTTCTCATTGTTTCAGGTGACCGCCCAGTGCCCTGGTAGTATTTATATCAAAGAAGACGAATATCTCCAAAAACTCTCACGATGCTATCTACCCACAAATCGCGGCGTTAGCAGCCTTCACCAACTCGCCTCAAACTATGAACGTGTCCTATCCAGAAGAGGACATTTTGAAGACAAACGTGACCTTGGAGCAGTGTCGTACGATATACGCGGATGAGTCTCAATACCTGGAAGAGTCTCACCCCGAGGGCTTCTGCCGGGTGGCCTTCGACAGCGTCCTCTGCTGGCCGCCGACACCCCTCAATGAAACTGCTACCGTCAAGTGTTTCTCGGAGCTGTTTCACATCAAATACGATGATACACGTGAGTATTTTTACAAGCCTTTATTTATCTTGGCCTCATTGTTGATATGTGTGGGACAAATCTTGGAACGGAATTTTGAACATGTTAACCTTAACCAACTGAGATGAAATTTTGTACACACATTTGCTTGTCGTGAAAATACAAAATGAATTAACTAACGTCATTTTGAATCCAGTATGGCGGATGCTACAAAATGGCGATTCATCAGTTCTGTGGTAACGTCTATGATATGGGTATCAAATGAAAGCGCTAGACAACAAAAACACAGTTAAAAGTGACGTCATTCTGAGTCCAATATGACGACCGCACCAAGGCGGCATTTATAATTAACATAGTAACCCATATATGTATTAGATTAAAGGGCTTAATGAGAGCAACATAACAAACAACGTGACGCCATTCCAAATCCAAATGGCAGCTGTCACAGAATGGCGATATATAATTTCCATAGTTACCCCTGTACTATGGGTATCCAATCCGCTCACCCTAGTAACGTCAGTTTAAATCCATATGGCGATCGCAGCCATATTTCGACTTGATCATATCCATAGAAATAGATATAATCAAGAGAATCAATAGAAATTTTATAATAAAGTAAGAAGCTTTATAGGGACCTATTATCAAAATATGTATATAAAAATTATATAGAGGTTATAAAATTTGTTATCTGACATCACAAAAATTTAAGCAAGTAATTAGTAAAATGAAATATACATTCTTTAAAACAAGCCTTCTGATTATAAAAGTTTAACGATAGGGAGGCCTCTTAATCTCAAGTTTTCAAATAAAGGCGTGTTACGTCCTGAAAGCAGCTAAATAAAGAATTGTCCTTTAAATGTATGTTTTATTTTGCTCTACGAGCAATATCCATAAGTAGTACAATATGAAAAAAAATTATTTAAATCAATTAAAATCTCAAGGCCAGTTAAAATATTGAATTAACTATAACGATTTCTAAAACAATTTATTTGAATATATGAAACTAGTTTTGTTAAACCAAAATACAATCATTTGACTGAACTCATTGAACCGTTTACTTAGACTGAGTATTCATATGAAATTAATCAACAATTAAAATAACTTTACCTGCTCCAAGTAAGATATTTTAATTAAATTCATTAAATTTTGTTCAACTAGTTCAGGTTACTTAGATTTAAGAGGATATTTGGAGAGCATTTGGAATTTAAGAAACCAAATAGCATTTTACTGAATGATGGATATTATAACTGCTCTGACAAGTCTAAGATATCAAATAATTCGGAAAACTTGATATCGATAATTGAAATAAAAGCCTCTGAATTTTGTAACCCTAAAAGAATTCAATATTTTCATTAATTGTGAACTTATTATACTTAGTGACTGTGACAAAAAAAAATATTTCTTCAACTAGTTTTTTTGACAACATAGGTGACTATATTTAAAGCATACTCTGGCAACAATGCCAAGGTTTATCCTTGTTTTTGTTTACTTTTGCTAAATGTTATCTGTTAGTTTTTTGAAGAAAGCAGTTTTGAGAGCTGAGCAGTACAGATATTTTTAGTTATTGCCTTTTCATTCACTAGTATTAAGTATAGCAAAATGCCCCGAGTTCGAAGACGTCCAGATTATCACCATGTGGACAGCGGTATTGCCTATCGAGATGTTGATTTGTCCTATCGCGAAATTGGCCGCCGTGTTATTATACTGCAATGACGGTAATGCGTGTGTGTCGTGTGTGGATAGAAGAAGGTAGAGGAATAACGAATAAGGCCAACTGGCCCACCGAGGCGTACCACAGAGCGTCAAGATAGGCGCACCAGATATGATGGAGAGGAGACAATCCACTTCCACCATCCGCCACAGTTCGGGTTGCCAGGAATGAAGTGCCACAACTTGACATCGATGATCTCATCTTGTCGGTGCCTAGACGTATACAGGAATGTATTCAGCTGCGGGGTCGCTCAACTTTCTTAGTACTTCTCAATAAAATTTCGTTTCATTTTTGATGTAAGACTACCTCATTACCAAAACATCAAGTTGAAGGAATTAATTTTTTTTCTGGGTGCAACACTTCTAATGTCACTGAGTGGGATCAAGTTTTACCAATTATTGGTCTGATTGTCCAGAAGCAGGTTATAATATATCAGCATTCACTTGAACCACTTTTTTGTTTTAAATTCAGAAAGTATGGAGAGGGATAGCTGGAAACTGAATAAGGCCACGTGATCATGTATACAAAAATCGTTCTTCTATTTATAATGATAATACAATATTGCACTCACCCAAATTCAACGCATTTTCCTAAATAAACGAATTCATCACTTGAAAATAACTAGGATATTTTTAGATAGACAAAGTCAGCACCAACAGGAAGATCCACATCCTATACATACAATACAAAATAGAAGCACATCAAACCTAAGTTGAGCACATACCAAATGAATGCATTATTGACATAAATATGGCTTCCTAAATAAAATTTCAAAGCTCTTCCCATTCCGTCACGTCAGCAGTAACTTCCTTATATAGAGTGTTTCATTGAGTTCAAGAAATATTCTAACATGGTTATGTGTCACTAACCGCCTTTTTTCATCTAATCGCCATAATTGTTTCACTTCACAACTACTTCACCAACAACAGCAACATTTGAATATGAAGCTCCTCGCGATAATCACAAATGAAACTGCTGAGTTCGGAGCGCGTCATCGCCTGTCGCATACAGCCTATCATTCAAGAATGAAGTGCCGATTCCTACCGAGTCCGCGATTCAAATAAATAGTATGAGTGTTTTTATTAAAATGTTTGATTGTTTTAAATGTACCATTTCAACATAAACAAAATTATTTAAACTAATTAAAGAGTTTAAACTGCTTCCAAAATTCGATTCAATTAATCCGAATAATTTACTTAACTAGAACAATTAAAAAATGTATTTTGCGTAATGAAAATTCTGCCGAAATTAATTGACACCGTTTTCTCAGTGTAGATTTACTGAAATACACACACACTGACAACGTCGCAGGTAGCACAATATTCTACCACTGCTATCTACAGTTCAGAGTAGAGATTTAAAATATCCGGAAAAATTGGGTGCCGGAAAAAACCTGTTTTTTTCCGGAAAAATTGAGGAAAAAAAGTAAAAATACGGAAAAATTGAAATTTGTCATATACAAGTTAAAAGTATTCTGGTTACTGATTTTTCCATTAATATAAATCAATAAATAATTTGAATCAAAACCGCAAGCTACGGCTCTGAAGGATTAGTTCTCGGTAAATACACGA